AAAGAAATGAGTCACTAAATTTCTTTGTACGCGTTGGAATTGTGGCCACAGTTATAAAATTGGCATTTTATACAATACCTGAATTATACAGATTGCCGGTGTCATACACATTAAAATCGTAATCAAATACTTTTAACGAGCACGAAGCGTATTTTTTTTACACAATATTACATTTCGGATCCGTTTCTGGTCCGTTGCATCAGCAGCTTTTTTTATTACATAGGTAACTTTTAAGAAAATAATGCCAATATAATGAGAATAACTCTCTAGTTGGTTGAATCGTAGCAATATATTGTATATTACAGTAATAAATAAACATTATGTAGGACGGTTGAAAATATTAAATCAAAGAGGTTACTTTCGATTTTTTTCGCTTTCAAATTTAAATTTTGTACCGAAAAATAACACAAACATATTATTTTAATCTAAAAAACAACCAGATCATACTTTTAGTTATTTATGCTAATACCCTAAAATTAAACCCGGTGGTTTAGTTTTACCCTAATAAAAGAGTAAATGCCCTAAGATGGCAAGAATGAAACGGCTATTACACTATCTAATTTTAAGTGCCGTATCGAAAGAAAAATCTTATAAAATCATATAAAGTCCAAATGTGTTTTTACAATTTAAAATATTTTTTTGACGACAAATGTAATTATTTAGTTGACATTTTCATTGTTATTATTGCTTATTGACATTGTTATATATATTTTATAAAATTTAATTGTTTGATAAGTAAAAATGAAATTATTATTATATTTGTTTATTGACATTGTTAACTCTATTATATAAAATTTAATTGTTGTGTAAAAATGAAATGACTACCCAATTTTAAGGGACCCTTACCCTGACTAAGGGTGCTGTAATAAGAGTTTGGGAGTAGGGGACCCGATCTAGGGCGATCGGCGCATCCCGATACACCTTGCTCCCTTACGCCCTTACAATCGGGTAGTGAAATAACTGTCAGCTATAGTATTTACTGTTAAGCCCATAATTCACTACACGCACCGCGAGCCGAACCCCGAGCCATACCCATTTGTGGACAAATCCGTCATTGCCCACACACTACACGAGCGCCGAATTGCAGTCGTCCAGTCGCTTGTGTACTTTGGTGAGCATCGCGCGTATCGTTCTTCCCTACCCTACCATGCCACCGGTGCTTTCCAAACGCACAAGTAGTCAGTGCAATATGGATGCACTGTTGTCAAATTTAAGTTCAGGTTTAGAGAATCATGCCAGAATCGACACCAATAAAGACTTAAGTTGCACCTAGAGCATAGGTATGAAACGTACCCTTGGCTGCGTTCCTTTAAGCTCTCGAGTGCAATTTTTACTCTGACGTTTTAATTTTGACAAAAAATGTATGAAACTTCAGTTTCACTTGGAGAGTAGGAAGGAACTCGATGGAACACATCAGGGTTCCCAACTTAGGGGTTTTCCCCCAACTTTAGGGGATTTTAAGTAGGCTGGGATTTTTTAGGGGTTTTATATTTTTCGAGGTATTTTTAGGAGGTTTTTATGACAATGGTGGTGATTCTGGCATGATTCTCTAAATCTTAACTTAAATTTGACAACACTGCATCCTTGCCATTCTCTATACAGAATGAAAAGGAGAGACTGATGTTAAATTTAGTTTTAAGTTTAGAGAATCACTCTAGAATCGACACCAATATATATTTATTTTTGAAGTGAAAAATTCTTTAGTACCGCTTTGACATGAAAAAGCTACATTGGTGTAGATTATGGCATAATTCTCCAAATAGTACAAAATAATCGAAATAAAATACGTTGATTGACTTTAAAAAAGTAACATTTATACATTATTTTTAAACTGATGTGACATAAATTAGTGACAATAGGCACTTTGAAGCTTAAATATTAAAAAAGGTGACTACTGTTGCCCGTGTTAAGATAATCTGTATTACAGGCAACAGGGTCCCCTCCATGCCTCCATGAACATAAATACTGTGGCTATTTTAGGTATGCGCACATAGGTTGTATGATTAACTATATATACATTTAAAAAGTGTTGGGGATGTTTAACCGCTGCTCCCCACTAGCGGAATAATAAAACGGCAATACTTGGTCAACTTGGATCACCATCTTCGGAAATATTCAAAATAACAAAAATACAATATTTATGAACAAAATTTTCTCTTGAAGTCTATTTTTAGAATAAAAACTATAAATCCAAACAGAAAATATATAAAAAGAACATAATTATAAAAACAATTAAAAACTTATTTTCTAATATGCCAGCCAGTGCCTACGAAATGTCCATAGATACTGGATGTATGGCGACATGGACCAACGTTTGTGCGGTGGAAAATCGCCACAAAGTTATAAAAATAAGAGGAACTGACAATTTTTTACTAACTACAACCGCATTTGATTACGCAACAAAGTGTTTTTATTATTTACCAAACATTCTGTCTCTATGTAATCTATAACTTTAAGCCATTTGCTAACTTTTATTTTGCAGTTATACATTGTAAGGAAATGGATATGAAAGAATTTATATACAATGTATCCTTGTAGACTGAATGAAAAGGGGATAGTGATGCCAAATTTATTTTTAAGTTTAGGGAGTCATGCCAGAATCGATACCAATATGTACCAAAGTATTTATAATTTTGTCACTCATCACTCTCCTACCACCATCGTCACTCCTGTAATGCTATCACTTCACATGGCCCCTCATATCCGTTATCTGTTATTTTTACTACAGGTCTATAAGGGGAATGAAAAGGAAAAAACTGTAGTCAAGTTAACGAATAGCAATCACGCCATGTTAATTACCAACATTAGAAACAAAGAAAAACCCTTCTTGATTTCGTATGCGGCAAGTGATCGGTGGTTTAATCCTGAGCTGGGATATTAGTTTTTTATAGTTTTTTTTTTAATAAAGATTAAACCTATTTAAGTTATAAAAGTTATTTACGGGATTGTTACCATGAACCTTGTTTTTAGAGAGTTTCCGATATTTCGCCATTGTTGCAAGCGCCATGATGATGATGAGGAGTAACTGAAGTAATTGGGGGTAGGCTGTTATTGGCAGACATATCGGTCTACCCTCCGACCAAGTCTTTTATTGCGTTCGATACCCGTACCACTGATCACATTCTCACTATTCACTCGAAACTGTTCTCGACACACAAAATTTACAGTATCGGATCGGATCGCGACACGACACTTTTTTGACTATTTTCGGTTTTACACATACGAACCACAGGATTTCAGACACTCGACAATTTAAACCCGTCTTCACGATTGAATTTTTTGTTTTGTTATTTCAATCGCTTCCCTGTCCAATCTTGGTATGTAGTGGTGTTTTATCGAGATAATCTATTGGATAAAAATTTTGGGTTATGAAACTCGATCCAGTGGTTAGGACCAGAATCAATCAAATGTTCCGCGATGACTGATTTCTGCGTATCGTTGTTTTTGATTGCTTTTATGTGTTTCTACATGGTACAACAAGTACAAGGTACAACAACGCTTCGCACAATCGAGCACTCTCAAAAGTAATGCTTTCGTGTGATGCGTGCAATCGTAACAACTCAGACACAGAAAATTAACAAGTGTTTTTGAAGTTATACTTCTTTAGGCGCGTTATGAAAAAATGATGAGAGTGAAATTTTAAGATGCGCGCGCATCACTGTAACACTTTTGTGTTTACCGCACATTAAGAAAAGCTACCAACAAAATAGAAATAGAATCTCTAGTTAGTGGGTGCTAACTATTGCATTGTAAAGGCCTATCAAAAGTATTTATTAATCTGGAACAACGGAACCAAAGCGCGATTCAGGAGACTACAGCGCCATCTCTTGACCATTGGTGTAGTAGAACCAAAAACCACATCTTTATTTTTTGTAATAAAGTAACAGTTATAGGTATTCATATTTATAATATCAAAAGTATTTATTAATCTGGAACAACGGAACCAAAGCGCGATTCAGGAGACTACAGCGCCATCTCTTGACCATTGGTGTAGTAGAACCAAAAACCACATCTTTATTTTTTGTAATAAAGTAACAGTTATAGGTATTCATATTTATAATATTTATCCACATGTTCCTAGTTTGTATATTCGGAATACGTGTTTGAGTTTCATACAAGTGCAAATCACATATGTTCTAATAAATTATATTCAGTAGCGATTTTAATTGAATATTTTGATTATTTATTTATTTTTTCAAATTAAAACTGAACTTTATTGACTGTGTCCCTTTCCAGACTTTTTATTAATTTATTGTAATAAATTATTTGCATGCAATTAAAAACTAATTTTAAACGATGCCAAAGAAGGATAACTTCTCACGCGCCTACATAAGTACACGCACCCATTTTTTTCTTTAAGTTGGCATTGATCGAAATGTTTTATTTATATGTTATCGTTAGTAATATTATTTATTGTTGAAAAATTATTAAAACTTTCGTTTCATTATAGTTTTTTTAAATAATCAAAGTTAATTCAAACTGTGTTAAAAAATTAAATATAAATATGGATGAAGGTACAAACATTGACTTTTATTTTTCAACACTGAACTTAGCGCACTCTGCTGGTGCATTTGAAAAGTGATTCACGTTCCAATTAAGCATCAGCATAATTCGGCATTGTGCGCCACTGAGTCGCATTATGCTCTGTAATTGGAAAACCACCTACTCGTATATAATGTTAGTGACTATGAAAGTTTACAACAATATATAAACCTATTTATTTTTGGAAACAGTGGATTCTGGCAGGATTCTCTAAAGCTAAACTTAAATTTGACAACACTGTATCCCTGTTATAATCCCTGTTAATTTAAATTTAAGTTTAGAGAATCTTGCCAGAATCGATACCAATATTATGTATATTTATCTTATAGGGAGATTTTTTAAGTTATTCGGGCGATTTTAGGGGTTTTGACAGTAGCTTTGGGGATATTAATTTTTGAGAGGTGGTAACACTGGAATAGAGTAAATTAAAAAAAAATCCTTGCTCTTTTGTTGTCCATGACTACTGCGTTGATGACGGCATGAATTTGACGTTCCGTTCATTGCTTGTTTTTTTGCGATTTGCTTCAGCGTTCGTGTGTGTCCCCGCGCGGTATAGCTTCTCCGTGAACCTGTTTTGCGTGAGCCTGCAAAAAAACATTGCGAATTTATTTATGCAAACGTCACATATAGTTGAATTTCCAAGAAAAGGATCGTTCCATGTTCATAGTGCGTTGATTTAGTAAATTGTGTTGTGGATACTGTGATAATATCGGTGAAAGTGTCTGTGCGAGGCTAAAATAAGGATTGTTTTCTCATTCGCTGGGTGGCATATTATAATCTTAAAATTCAGGTAAGTGTCCGATTCGTCACGTAATACCATTTTCGGCGCTTCTACAGCTTACCAAATCATGGCATTATAGAATGAACCCTTAAGCCTTTGCCTCAATATCATACAATAGGGATCGACTGTATCTATATCTTTTCCATTATCAAACTTTTGACCTATAGGCCTATTCGCTAACTGCTTTTGACTAATGGAAGTGATAATCACCGTGCTATTTGTTAACCACTACTGCTTTATTATAACGCCACTAAGATACTTGTTCTGAAAAGCATCGATGGATATGTAATTTCTCTTTAGTTACACATTGTAGATGTCAAAAAAGTTAGCAAATAGGCTGGCAGAACAATATCAATAGGTTTTTTGATGTCTAACATCTTTCCTCTCGCTTTCCTGCAATTTGTGGGAGTGATTTCGTGAAATGTAACGGAAGTGTGTAACAGGAAGCCGCGAAAGCGCGCGCTATTTGATTTGATTTTAGAACATAATGTTCAAATGGCTTATACCTTTTGTAGTAGGTTTTATTTCTTTTTTTACTAATATAAGGTGAGGTTTCAAATGTTATCATACACAAGTACTGTTAGGCTCGCTCGTTATTTACCTATATCAATTTACCCAAATTTCTATGAATGGTTATGCGAGTACACCTATTTTAATATTATTTACCCTAACTTGACTTTTCCCATGAAACTATCATTATTATTCCATAACAAAACGTGCCCTTCTGCTTGCCTTTAGCTTTAAAAATACCTGTAATACATTTGATCTTCAATAAAACTGGTGATGTTTGTGTGTTTTAACTTGCGAATCAAGTGTTTAAAATAATATAAGACAAAATTTTACTTTTATCTGCTTCTAGGCTCCAGTAAACCAACATTTGTTTTTTCAATAAAATGACAACCAATGTTCAAATTTTAAACCTAAATAAATTTAAATCTGCAGATTAATTAAAAATGCACTGAGATCTGAGACCAGCGTTGTCAGATTTCGTTGAAAGCTGGACATAAATATAAAAAAAACATGTAATCAAAGGTTATTGAATATTTATCTTCATTACGCACCGGGCAGGCAGCCAGACCACATTTGTCTATGCCACCCGCCCGCGCTTTTTCAGTATGCTGCAAGCACAGTCGAGTCATACCCGAAAAGTGGCATTGAGCCTGTCCTGGACATTAAATTTTGATTTAAAAATAGGGACATCTGGCAACGCTGAGACGCTGAAGAGGATACGCACTTGATCTCACTCACTTACGGAGTTAAGTTAGTGTTCTTTTTTTATGTTACAAGCTCATTGTCCCCCTAATGGTAAGCTGCCACTATAACCTATACCAGAAATATCATTCACTCTGTCACCTTATTTTTATCATGGGGATAAAAAATGCCTTATATCTTAGGCTTAACTTCAACGATCGCAGCCAAATGCGTTAACCACTTGCGCCATCGAACTCCTCAATATTATAAAAATTAATAAATTAATAAAAATTTACAAAAACAACACAATCATACATTATTAACAGAAAACAGTGAGGAAAAATAGATTGGAAAAGCAAGTGTTTTGAACACAAAAAAATAAACTACTACCCCGGAGCCCTAGTACCTACTTTATACCTTATTCATATTATATATTCGTACCTTATTCACTGGCAAAAACACAACTCTACCAAAAGGTAGAATTTTATTTTAGTGTGGTCTTCTATATGGTGAAGCTTAATTCCATTTTCTGCTTTCACAGTCATCAACTTTGGTCCATAGAATTCATTTTTGCTTCAAAAATTCAAAATAGCCACTGGCCGATGTCTGCTTAACCACCACTCAATTATACATTACAGGCTATTCTATAAATAAATAAATATTTCCAACACACACACACACCAATTAGCCTAGCCTAAAAGTAAGCACTATAAGGCTTGTGTTATGGGATACTAGGGTAACTGATAGAATACATATATTGTACATAATAAGTATATATATTTATATAAAAATACATATTAAATATCCATGACTGGAGTACAAATGCACGTATTCGTCACACAAACATCTGCCCCCACCGGGATTTGAACCCCCGGGACCTCGAGTCGGCGACACCATGAATCCCGGCGTCCAAACCACGCGGCCATGGAGGTCGTCAATCTCTTTGTATTCTATAGATGAAGCCAACATTCATGCCAATGCTGCCATGCTTCATTGCAAGTTTGAATTCTATTTAAGTTGATGTTAATATTTATTTATTTATTTATTTATTCTTTATTGCATGCCACAGATAGTACAAAAAACAACATTATCGTAACCTGTACAAACATGTGACACCCTGCAAGGGCGTTGCAATTTTACTTAAATTATTATTATTAATTAAACAAACAATCAAATATATTATAAAAAAATTCAATTCAATTATTAAACACGCATCTTACCAAAATTAAAATTAAAAAATACATATATTTTACAATTTAAAAACTATAGATATTAATATACAATTTTCACACTCAGAATTTTTAATATAATATAGAGGTATGTCATGCAATTTTTTTTTTATTACTTCATTAAAATTATATATCAAATATGTTTATCTTGGAAAAATTCTAATATATTATAATATGATTTATTAATAAGATATTCCTTTAGACATTTTTCAAAAATTGTATCGTTTTCCAAATTTTTAATATTGTTGGGTATGTGATTATAAATTTTAATTATCATGGAGTGTGGAGAATTAGATACCAATTTCAAGTTTGAAAACGGGAGCTTCAGTTTATTCTGGTAGCGATCATTACGTCTTACTAATTTTACTGGGGAGTATAATTCGATATGTTTTCTCACAAACTTGCAGGCTTCAGAGATGTATAGGCATGTTATGGTAAGTATTTTAAACTTTTTGAAGTATGGTTTGCAGGAGTCTGTCTGTTTTATATTTGCAAGTATTCTTATAATTTTTTTCTGGAGGACAAAAACATCATGAATATCCGTGCAGTTACCCCACAATATAATGCCATAGGTCAGCCTGGAATGGACAAATGCGTGATATGCAGAAAGGGTGGTATTAAGGTTAGTACTGCGTTTCAACTGTCTCAGTGCATATACGAGAGAGGACAATCGAGTTGTTAGCTTTTGAGTAAGTGGTTTCCAGTTTAAATGCGAGTCTAGCTCTATCCCTAGCATGGTTGCAGAGTTTACAGTTTCTAATTTGTTGGATTTGTATTTGTAGTTGATGTTTAATGGGGTCTTTTGATGAGGTCTATATTCCATTAATTTAGTTTTCTCCAGGTTAAGCTGTAGATTGTTACACTCTAGCCATTTTGTAAGCGAATCTAATGTCGCGTCCAATTTTACTTTAAGTGAATCAGTGCTTGTGCAGGAAAAGACTACTGAAACGTCATCTGCATAAAGCACATTATCAAAAGGAATTGAATCTGACAGGTCATTCACGTATATCAGAAAGAGTATACAACCTAGAACGCTACCTTGTGGTATTGATCCGGTGATAGGGGTAAAATCAGATCTGATATGTCTAATTTCTCCAGTTTCGAAGTTGACATTTTGTATTTCTACGCTCTGGTGTCGATTCCGAAGATAACATTTAAACCACTCAAATGCTAGTCCCCTTATACCGAGCCCGTAGAGTTTATCAAGTAAAATTTTGTAATTTACTCTATCATACGCTTTACTCATATCGAGTAATAAGCTTATTGCGTGTTTCTTATTATTAATTATATCAAAAACTTTTTGTAATAACTTATAGACGGCTAGAGTGGTTGTTTTGTTTTTGCGGAAACCATATTGATTTTTGTGAAGAACTTTAAACTTTTCTAAAAATGCTATAATTTTATTAGCCATAGCTGTTTCAAATATCTTAGCAGATGTCGGTAGGAGTGCAATAGGACGGTAATTACTTACTAAGGTTTGTTCGCCCTTCTTGTGTATTGGCTTTACTACAGATATTTTTAGGGAATCTGGAAAACATCCCTCCTGAAAGGACTGATTTATTAATAGTGTGTATGGTAATGTCAATTCTTCCGCACATTTTTTAATTAAGCATGGGGGGATGTCATCGACTCCAAAGCTAGATTTACTTTTAAGATTTTTTATTATTTTGTAAGTGTCTCTGGGCTCTAGAGATTGTAAATAGAGTGAACTCTGTATTGAGTTTACAATTTTTGAGTGTTCGCTGCTTGTAAGTTTTTGGGTGTTGCTGATTGTTGAGAAGTAGTCATTAAACAAATTCGCTATTATTTTTGGGTCTTTATATATTGATTGGTTCTGTTTTAACACAATATTTTGTTTAAGTAGTCGGGGTTTTGAATTCAATTCTTTGTTAATTATATGCCACATAGTTTTACTTTTGTTTTTTGAGTTTGAATATTTATGAGTGTTTTCTATCTTTTTTGATATTTGTACAGCTTTTTTTAATAGTTTACAATACTTTTTATAATAATTATCTAATATTTTACTTTTTGCCTGTATTTTAATCAATTTTAATAATCTCTTATTTCGACAGGATACTTTAAGGGCTGGAGTAAGTTTTGATTTTGCAGGTGCATGGCATAGTTTTATAGCTAACTTGGGTATATACTTATCTAAGAGTTGTTGGAGAACAATATTAAATGCATCATAGTTGGTGTTGGTGTTTTGGTCTGGTTTTATTATTTCAAACCACTTTACTCCTTGCAGTTCTTTTTTAAATTTATTAATATTTTTGTCATTAAATAATCTTTTCAGTAGGAAGAAGTTTTTAGGGGCCTGCATACATAATGGTACGGAGAGGATCAGGCCTTTATGGTCTGAGAAAGCGAAATCATTTACTACTAAATGGTGATTGTTTGACTCAAAATTTAAAAAAATAAGATCTAAACAACTGGAAGTATTTTCAGTTACTCTGGTGGGTTCTTTGACTATCTGGTGAAAATTATACATTAACATTGCTTTTTTTAAGTTATTTGTTTCTAGACTATTTGCCATAAAGTTCACATTAAAATCTCCCCCCACTATAACAGATTTTGAAGTGTCCTTCAATG